TTTATGAATTTTTATATTAAAATAAATTTACAAGGAGTTGCAACCAAGTTGCAACTCAAGTTGCAATTTACCGAGTTGCAACTTCTTAATTATGGTGCCCATCTTTAATAATAATAGAGTTTAATTTTAAATATTTTAAACAAGTTTTTGAATATGAATTTATATCTAAACCTATTTAAACATATTTAAAGTTATTTAAAATTATTTAATTATCTAATAATACTTTATTATTATATTTAAAATTTAGCAAAAATTTTATTTTATCAGAAATTAAAATTAATTATATCTTGTAATATATATATAAAATAAAAATAATAAAATATTTGCAATATATATTATAATGAGATAATTTATATGTAGCATATGTGATGCTATCGCATTGTTATTGCGATTATTGCACATACACTTTATTATTGATTATTATATGACCTTGATATGATATAATTTTTTATTAAATAAATACGTCATCTCTATGTGATCTTAATATGATATAATTTCTTTTTGAATAAATACATTGTCTTCTTTTAATCTTTTTCACATTTAATATATCCTTTTACATTTCTCGTCCTACAACTCTTTTATAATGTTTCACATCTCAAAAAAATGGAAATTAATTCAACCTATTTTTAAAATAAAAAATATGTGTATTAGTTTAAATACTTCAATATTCTAACAATTTCTCTTTACTTTTTTTTACTTTTCTAGTTGAGAATGAATTTCACGAACTTGAAGATAACTTAGGTTAGTATAAGAGTTATGTTCTTTATTTTATTAAAGAAACTTGTGCTAATGCATATTATAACCATACAAAATATATAAACAATAAAGAAAGAGGTAGGACTGAAACTTTTCCTACTGAACCTATCCTTGGGTTAGATTTGAAAGAGTTAGATTATACTCAATATCCTTTCTTAACCTCACCTATAGAACTATATATTAGGATTAAATTTTATTTTTAGGACATTGCTGAGTATTATTTGAAGGAATATGAAAGGTAGAAGGATTTTGTAATTAACCGTTATAGAGTTGAATATCATAAGAATCTGTCATCAGATTCTATTGAGCAGGTTAAAAAAAAGAACATTAACTTGTGAAAAGACTGGAAAGTATAAGCCTAACAAGACAAAACCCATTGGTCAACAATGTAATAAAGGTTCTAAAAAAACAGATTGTAAATAGCATATCAATTTGAGTGATCCTAAAAGCACTGATAATTTACACATAACCTTTGCTCATCTCAAACATAATCATACTATTAATGCTGATAATGTAAAATTTGCTTCAACTTTTCGAAAGTTTATGAAGCTATGATGTCTGAAATAGAATATGCTATTATATATAGACATTGTGATGCACATACTATAAGAAATTTGCTACAACCTCTTTTTCCTAACCAACTTTTTCTCATCTAAGATTTATCCAATGCAATTCAGAAAATCAAACGTGAAAAAAGATTGTTGGATCAGATACTTCTTAATTATTGAATTTTCTTCTTAACAAACATAAAGAAGAATCCACAATATTTATACAACCTCTAATTAATCAGAATAGTAATAGATTAAGTGGTATATTTTGGATGCCAGCAAATCAAATAATGTTATGATCATGCTATTCAGATGTTATCTTACATGATAACACAGCAAGGACTAACAAATATAATTATCCTTTATCACTTTTTATTCTTGTTGATTGTAATGGTAAATCACGTATAGATACACAAGCATTTTTAAATGATGAAACTCAAGAAAGTTATGAATAGGTTTTACAACAGATATTAAATGCAACGGGTATAAAACCATAGGTTATATTAACAGATATGGATCTAACAATAGATGTAGCATATTGATCTATTGTTACCCAACTATTGATTAGGCGGACTGAAACACTTAATCAATTGAGTAGCAGCAAGATTTAGCTCAATC